TTGTGTGTGTGTGTGTGTGTGTGTGTGTGTGTTTGCGTTTGTGTTTGCACGTGCACATGTTTCCAAACACTTCACTAACTAAATTCATTTGAGAATTTGATGAAGATGACTACATTTGGAAATTCTGGGGGCAACGTTACGGTTTCATATTTGGTACAGATTGAAAGGCAGCCTAGGAGATTGACATGGTTTACTGAGAACAATTTCAGCGACTTGGGTAGTTGTGTTTTCGTGTTTGTCTTGGATTTTGCTTTTCCTTAACCTGTTCGAATTCTGGAATCATCAGAGTTTACTTTTAATCTTGTAATGTGTCGGGAAAGGTACCAGACAAGAGGGGTTTTTTTCTGGGTTAATACTCCCATTTGATTGTAAGTTGGTGTGAACATCACCCACGCTGCGGTGGACTTTTTGGTGGCCGTGGGAGAACTGAGTTTTCTTTATCTTAAGGTAAACAAAAACCCTAATGGGTAATCTAGAAATTTGTTAAAATCAATTGTGCATGTCTTGAATATGCTATATATGTTGAGAACTGAAACACTTGAGTAAAAACATTGCAACAACCTCTGATAGAGCTGTGCCAGATACATCTTCCTAGTTAAGCCAAATAATGGGAATATATTTTTCTTCAATCTCAATGAAAATTATTAGCACTATAAATGAAGCGAAAGTAATTTCATTTTTAGCAAAAAATGCGCAAAAAGTGTTAATGCAACATCAAATAACCCTAAAACGTATTTTTATTAACATAATAATATTATTGCAAAACAGTGAGTCTCACCTCTAATAAATCGTCGGGCTTACGTTTAATTTTATTGAGTCCGGTGTTTCAGTACAAGAATTTCCAAGAAACAAGAGCATAATAGTTTTATAAGATTATCGGTTCTAAATCCATAATGTGACACTTCTAATCACCACAAAACCGTTTTCTTCTGTTATACCAATCGTTTGGTCTAGCTCTCCTCGGCCAGAACACAAAATTATTGGTTTATTTTTATTACTTATTACTCTGTGGAACTGAGTATTGTGCAGGGAGAAAAAAGTGCAAAGAGAAGAACCATTAACTGTGTTTGTTGAGCGAGCTATTGCGTGGGCGTAAAAAGCACGCTCAACTCCCATGATTAATTGTAGTCTTTGTTTTGCAATACTCACGAAGAGAAATGACAAAGAAAGGAGTGTGTAGCACTAATGCATCGATAGGACTGGTTTACAAGACCTCCTGGGTCTATTTTTAAAAAGATTAATGAACATGCATAGTGACATAAAGCTTTAGCAGATTGAGAGTGGTCTTGTTGGTGGCGTTGTTTATTTCCTTGCATCCATCAATACCACGAGCATAATACAATGTAAGAAAATTCCCAAAACCAAATCTAGTTACCAGGAGGAAGATCCTTCAGATCTGTTGTTTTAAGCTTAGTCTATGATGCAATATGTGATGTCATCGAAAAGTTTATCCTCTTTAAACTCTGATCTGACTTTATCGCAGCCAACCTTAAAACCTTGTAGAATCATACACGATCATCAGTTAGATCTAGGTTTCGTTTGGTCAGAGTGTAACGTTCTAATTTCCAGAAATACGCCATTTGGACGAAGAAGCTCCTGGACCAGTCTGAAAAAGACCAACGACGAGGGAAGAAAGAAAGAAAGCGGTTTATGTACTAAAGTAAAATATCTATGCGCATCTGAGCGAAACGCTTTATCATTCAGGCGTGAAATG